AGTTTTGTTATAAAGTTTTGGCCTAAAACGTATTTTATACTCCAGGATTTCTTACGTGTTTCCTGTCAAAACCGCATTCTCAACTGAGATCGATGCACGTAAGCTAACGTGCTTTTGTAGTTATTACTCTAGCTACAGCCGTTCAAGAGAGAGAGAGAGAGAGAGAGAGAGACAGAGAGAGAGAGAGAGAGAGAGAGAGAGAGAGAGAGAGAGACTGAACCCGCCGGTGCTGAACCAGAAGAACCCATAGTGAATGGAAATTGACGGTGTCAACAACAAACTACTTGCTACTCTGCTGACCCGTTTATGGGGCAGGACTGCGAGGTGAACTGTGGTCTATCGCAGCTCCTCTGATGAATTACGTTGCTCAAATAGGCACTGAGTTTTGTTGACACCGTGCGAAGCAATGCCGCCAACCCAAATAAAACAAAAGGCATGCAGGGCAGAGAGGTACATGCAGAGCGTCGTAGGTAGTACCCAAAAAACCTATTTTTTCAAATTTAGCACTATTTAACCATTGTCATTGTGACATATAAAACCTTATAAGACACATGTAAGGTCACTGGTCATTTTGGATAGCAGATAAAATGGTGATACTGTAGTGCAGTGTAGCCTGGTTCCTGGTACTGTAATGGTGAACAATTTTGACTTGGTAAATTTCTCTAGAAAGGCGCATTTCACAGCAGACCACTTTAAATTAATTTGTTTACATCTAAACGCTTGAATGATTAAGTAATTTTTACTCTTTAAAGTAGCTAAATTCACTAATTAGGAGGGCTGCTTGGATGCTTTTGGTCAATATCTATCTACATGCACACAGTCTCACTCACCCGGACATCTTTGTAGAGTCGGAGTGATGTCTGGTTGAGCATGAAGTATCTGTCGTTGAAGCTGCCGGTGGTCAGACCAAGCAGACTCTTCTCCTCTCTGAACTTCAGCATGCCATGCTTGGTCACATCCACCTTACTGGCTGTGGACACAACACACAAATATACGCACAGTTATTTCCCAAGCCCTTCTGCCACTATAACTCCCACAGCATTACGAACTGTACACTCAGGCCCTGATTTACCACAGGGGTATCAAAGCCCACTGGTGACTAAAGTTGCCACAGTGTTTTAAATACTCACATATCAAAGAATGTATACGTATGTTATGAAGACTATGGCTGTGTCACACAAATCTTGTCTGGCTATTTATCTATCAACCTTCCTCTGTCCCCAACTTTAGGTAAGTTTATGTAACAGTATGTTTTAACCGTTTCTGTTTGTTCATTTGTTGTGTCATTTTTACACAACATAAAGAGCAGCTGGTATTTTTAGACTGTCAAAAAATTAAAAATGACCACAAGATTTTGTACCGACAGCCATGATATTCAACATTTTGTATACTGTACTGCACTAAACCCAATAAAACAGCACTAATTATGCTCTCTTTTTTAGTAATGTGTTTTGAGAAAGTTTTGGCCTAAAACATGTTAAAATCAATTCAATTCATGGCAGAGAGGTGCATGCAGTGCGGTGTGCAGCAGAACAGTCGCCAGAGAAAACGTACATTTTCAGATTTACCGCAATTTTACCATGAAGAACATTACACATAAAAACTCAGAAGACACCTGAAGGTTCACTGGACATTTTGGACAGTAAAAATTTGTACATTTGCATCTACAACATAAATACAGCCCCCCCACCACCACCGGCTCACCACCACTAATAAAGAAATCCAGTACGTTCCACATCCACATACATGTCAGTGTATTTTTACTGTGTAGACTAATATTTGTGTGTTTTTAGTTTAAAGCTCATCTTGTATAAAATGCATAGAAAAAGGAAGTATGCATTTCGTATAATGCAGCCCTCCAGTGATTACACTCACTCGCTCACTGAAATGTGTGTGGTAGAAAAATAAAAAACCTGACCAAAAGTGTCACAAGTGGAGTAAAGCAAAAGTCAGATTTAAGAAAACAGTTTTAAAAAAACTTTACCACATGGAGAAGTAGGAGCACCATGATTTTTCAAAAAACAGCCTAAAGGAACAGACATAGACAAAGAAATATAAAAAAATAAAGACATATCAACACGCACTCAATATTACTGACCTTTCAACACTGACATTCTCAGTGAGAGCGTGAATGGAATAATATATTTTATTAGATGTCATTTTTAAGTTTGCTCTTATGCCTCATCATCTCCTGACTCCCTCAGTTGGTTTTTATACACTTATATTTAATCAGCACCTCTTTGAGATCCAAACTCACTGTGACTACTGAGAACTTGTAGCACATGTAAAAGCCTCATTTACATATTGTTTTCTTTCTGTTGCACATCGTCATATTTATCCTTCGTAAACCACCAGCAAAACAGTCACAGCTCGTATAAATCTACTGCGCACATAAATTAGCACTGTTTATCTGAGATCTTACTGAGTCTCAGTGCACACTGTATTTTGAAGCTCCTTTTTAAAGTGATGAGTGTTTTATAGATGAAGTCCAGTAAAGGAGAGTGTAGTGTCTGTCTCTTACCCAGGTAGACCAGCATGGCCTCCATGTAGTAATTCTTCTTCACCAGTAGGTGGCTGTCTGTGCCCAGAGAGTGCAGGATGGGTAACACACGTTCCTGATAGTGCAGTGGACGTTCTGAAAACAGAAAGAGAGAGAAAGAGAGAGGCAGCAAATGAATGAATAAATACTTGAATGAACTGATTAATGTTTGGACTAGAGAATGCAACAAAATGAAAAATACATTTTTATTTATTTTTTATTTTCCGTATTATTTTGCTTTTGAATAACATTATAGATCAGATCTGCTTTCAGTAGGATAAAAAAGATAAAATGATAAAATGCTTTGTTCTGTTTCTCAGTCTAATATTACCAGCAAAGACTTTGGCATTTGAACAGTTGCTGCTTTGGTACACTCGGTGGTAATGTGTGACTTATATACTCCACATGGAGACGGAGAAGAAGTCTAGCCATTCACTAACAGTGAGACACGTAACCAGCTACTATCATTTATATAAATCTTTTTTACAATATATGAAACTATATCCTATGGTATATATTTCAGTAGTGTTTAAGACCAACCTATTTCCTCTTTCTCGTTGACCTCGAAGCAGCACCAGTAGTCCTTCTCTTTCACTGTGATTTTCCGCCGGTCCAGAATCTCAAATGTCAGCTCAGCTGCCGTCATAGTAGCAGGGATCTACAAAGGTCAGAGGTCAGGACTTTTAAACAGACAGTTTGGCCAGAAAGGCTAACATGGCTAACAGTGTATAGAAAGCTGGACTGTTTACTGTACATTTGGCCAATCTATCCTTTTACCCACTGATAACTACTTTAGCAGCAAAGAGCTGTAAACAGTTTAGACCTTTATGTTATCACAGTGGTCAAAAGGATCAATTCACCAAAATAAAAATACTGATTTTGGCTGTGCATTTCAGTGTGTCATACAGTGTCAGAAACCACATGAACAAGTCTATTTGATAGTACATAACAACTCAACCCAGTTTGAGGCAGGTGTGTGAAGATTTAGGCATAAAGATTGTACAATGATAACTGTTACTTAAGCTTCTATGACTTGTTGGCTACATTATCCTCATAGCTCCAGTGTAAAACTAAAGAAGCAAACTTCAGACATCAAACGTTTCGACAGATCGACTACAACTGAGTTAACAGAGACACTGAGTTACATTATACATATATATATATATATTTTTTTATTATTATTATTTTTTACCTTATTATATATTATATTACATTGTATATACACTATGATATAATTACTATTGTATCTTTTAAATGCGAAGCCTTTGCAAAACACAGTTATATTCCTGCTGTGTTCTGAGGGCAGAATTCACCTTCACATGCTGCTCCGCCGTCTCCTTCTTCTCCTCCAGATACACTGTACAGATAAAGTCACCACTGGCCTGAAAACACACACATGAACACACCCCCCCCACACAGACGGTTAAAAGAAACACAGTTTTTGTTAAATATGCTTTTTGCTTTTTTTCTGATGCTGAAAAATGAATACATTTTACTTGATGGGTGTTTTGACTGTGAATTAAATGAATGAAGGGCTGTCTCTGTTTTTTTTTCACCACCCCTACAACTGTGCAAAAGGATGGGCATGTAAATTTTAAATTACATATTTTTAACATTGAAATAATTATCCAAATACAGGTTTTCTGCTGTTTTTTTTTATATTTGACTTAAAAAAAAAATGTGCAGAAGTTTGGAAACCTTTCCAGTTGTAAAGTTATCAGAACCTAATTAACTCGTTAATAGACTCTTTAGGACTGTTTAACTAGGTCAAAAACTGGCGTTAGGACAGAGCATCATAAATTTTCTGACTTTTCAAATTAAATTTTGTACTAACACTTAACAACAATGCGGTGCTTAAAGCAGCTGGCTGAGAATCTGAATGTGAAGTTAAATGATGCCTACAAAGCAGAGGAAAGCTTTAAAAAGACATCAAAGCGCTTCTATCTCACAGTTTCCATTATCAAAAATGTCACGAAGAAAGTTAAGAGGAAGTGTGACTGAGCTGTGCTGTTCAGTTCACTGTGTTAGCCATAGACATGCACACATACATGCACACCCACCGGCCCCGTTTTAGGGTTGAGGTTGTCTCTCAGCTTAATGATGTACGTGATCTCGTCAAGTTGGGTCTTCAACTGCTGTTCATTGACCTGTAACACACACACACAGGCCTTTGAGGTCGGGAATACAGCACAACTTTTAAGGTCCTAACATTATAAAAACATTATCTCACACTTTCTCGTTGATTTTGTAGACATTTTGGAGCAATACTGGGGACTAACAAACTAAACAGCTTGCAAGTTGTTGCTGAACTGACTCGAGCAGAGCCCTTCAAATTCACATAAGTATAGAAGCTTAGTTAGGAATTGTGAGCCAGAAACCAGAAGGTAGTGAGTTCAAATCCCAGGACTGACTGGGTATATCAGGTTGTGCCCTCAGGCAAGGCACCTAACCCCCCACTGCCCCAGACGGCACCACTCTGTTGTGATTCTGTGTTAGATAACCAGCAAAATGACCAATTTCCTTTGGATCAATAAAAGTATGTAACATAATGTGATGAGTGTGGTAGCTTTGGGTATTCAGGTCGTAAACATGCTCGACTGTGCTCCTGCCATAAACTCAGTTAATCACAAAGCTGTTGATTTGTTATTTTTCTTTATTTACCTGCTGTTTTTACCTTTTTCTCTGGCTATCAGATCTGTTCAGATTGAGTCACTGACCAGTTTACACTCTGAGGTTTTATCCAGGGTCAGAAAATGAAGCATGTTTTATATATTCCGCTAAAATTAGGGTGGTTAGAAAATCAAAAATTACTGTTGTGTCTTGTGCTTAAAGAGATTTCCTTTGACCCCGGTTGGTCAGCTGTGCATGATGTATGACACTCCTTTTTTAGAGCACATATCGCTGCTGTCGGAAGAAAACCTCGTATCTCCATTTTGGTCGTTTTACAGTTTTTGACATGATCTGAAAATGCCTGTTGCCTTTTACATTGTGTTTCTTTCAAAAGAAATGACCAAAAACAAAAAGTGTGGTTCCATTAACTTACATTAAAAGTAATATATATATAAAAAGTGAAAGGCATTGTTCAGGCTGGAGCAATGCTTTTCAGTTGCTCTATTTTTTTGCACTGTTGCAAAACAAGAATTATAAGACACTTGAGAGAGTCTGAAAAGGGCGTCATCTGAGGGCAGCTACTGTGATCAGACAAAAGGAGCAAGAAAATCCTTCATTCTAGTCAGAAACGGCTTGATTTCTGTCCTCTGTATTAGCACTCGAACACTGTGGCTGTTTACCAGTCTCTGTACTTGTGTGCAGTGAAGTGCACTCAAAGCGAACACAGGGCTCAGCTCTCAGCTGACGGCACCCGATGCACTCGGAGTGGAAGTGTGTAGCGCTGAGCGTGAGAACGCCACAGAGGAAACGTGTCACAGCTCTTTATTTAGACAGTCATTACATGAGTGAGCAAACTAACAGAGCAGTGCATCCTTCACAGGTGGGCAAATCGACTGTTTCCAAGAATAAATTTCTTTTACTTCAAATATATCCTCATTTTTGTAGGTCTGCAATGATTTTTTGACAAATTAAATCATTAAAATATTCAGAAATTATGAAATCTATAAATAACTATAGTAATTTAGTGCTCTAGTTTGAAGTAACAGCATTGGGTGTTTTCTTATGTGGGGTTTGTTCTTTGGTAAAAATAGAATCTACACACACTCAAGAGCTCAAAGGGGTGAACAGTTCTGCGGTTTAAGAACACGTCATGAATCTGACGGAGACTTTTTTCCTAAGACCTTTCACTAAGAACACGTCTAAGAAGAAACTTAGGAAGACACTGGTGCATGAGGCCTATTGTTCTTGATGCCAGATGCAATCTAAATAAGTGTCAGAGGAAACTAGTACGGCTTACGTTATATAGAGGAGGCAGTTCACTGTTGAAATATGAATTGAATAGTCTGTAACGTTCAGCACTGTGGTGGTATTACAGAAATCCCAACCCTTCAGTAAAAAAAAGCCATCTGGCTTTTTGGTGAAGCTCTTTCTACCGAATTTGTCCAAACTGAAAATAATTCGTTTTCAAATCTTAGATATTCACAAGTATTATGTTATGATTTATTTAAACCCAAAGCACTAAACTAATTGAGTAATATGCTAAATATGTACAAAATCATTATTAATAGGCTACTTTCCACTGAGAGGCGAGTGTCCCAAACCCTGACCCCTACATTTACACTTGTGAAAATATTTTGTAAATTTGTTGTATTTTTTTTCTTTTAAAGTAAAGTTCACATTTCCATTTACACATTTCAAGTCTAGCTGAAAGTCTGAAATGAATTTTGAACCAGTTTGGTATAGTGATCCATATACGCAAGCTACAGTTGTATGCGAAAGTTTGGGCTGGTCTTTGTTGATTTCGTAGTGTAAATAAGTTAACACATCTAAGGGGAGGCACTCCCACACAGTTTAATACACAATTACTGATTATCTGCTGAATTTAATGCCCTGGAAAAAATAAAACATAAAACGTGGCTTGTGCAAAAGTTATGGCACATTTTATGTTTTTTTATTTGAGTTTTTTCTTTTGAAAATCAACAATGTAATTTGACTGAGGGTGTACAAACTTTCTCAGATGACTGGATGCATAGTAGCCAGAACAACATGAAAAAACATGGTTTTGTGTGACTTGAGCCAAATACCACAAACTATGTAAGTAATTATTATTTATATATTCTTCCACAGAAGACAATTTCATGTGATTTGTATTCCACCGCTGATTTTCTTTTATTAAACCATTAAAATGGAACGTCTTGAATCATTCTTTTCCTTATAAACACTGAAACACTCGGTATTTGATAGAATATTTAAAAATGACTGATAGTTGCTGATAAACACTGATAGTCTCCACCAGGGGGCGTTAGGATCACATTATTTGAATATGAAAACATTGTTTTGGTATTTATCAACACTGTAATGGACTAGACAGTGGGAGGTCATTGAAGATCTGATGCATTTTCAATTTCATTTGAAATGTGACTGAACCATCTCTGACCACTGCTATACCAGATGAAGCCATACAGCACCTACTAATTTATAACACATATATAATTTATAAGTACCTATTTGTCATAATAATAAGTCCTATATGTATTGCGTGGGTTCTGCTGAATATGATGATATATGTGTATAAGCTCACATGGAATATGGTGATGTAGTGCTGAATGAGGTCCTCCACCACACGCCCGGCGTTGTAGTCTTTACCGTCCGTCTGGAACAGCGTCGGCCCAAACACTATGGCCAGGTTATGAAGGTTCATCTGGTTCAGTTCCGAGAAGCGCTGAACGCTGTAAAAACACACACAACCAGCAACCAAAGAGTTAAAATGTGCCAATGTGACACCCGTTTCATAACATCTGACAATGAGGAACAACAGTTCAAAAAAGAGGAAGGGTGCGTTCACATAGTTTTACAGCGTCCTTCTAAACGTACAGCAGCGTCTGTGTCTTACCAGTATAAGTGATTGACCAGCGTGCGTAGTGTAGCTTTGTTGACTCTAGGCAAGTCGCTGAAGAGTAACTGATACTGAGAGATCTTCCTGCTTTCATCCGAAACAGCTAAACACACACAAGATACAACACACATTAGACAAAGACCGTCGCAGATGTGAAATACAGCTTTTACATAGCTGCCCTGCTGCTCTGCCTGTGTCCATCTCCACTCTGAGGCACACTGAAGGGAAATCCCACACATTTTTCATTTTTTTCTGCTTAATTCAATCACTGAGACAAAAACAAACCCATTCAGAGTGGCCTGGCGTGAAGTGGACCTTTGTAGAGAATCTAACCAACTCTGTTTTCTTTACAGTGGTGGTGATAGAAACCGGGGTCGCAAAGTCTGCAACACAAATACTTTTATTTACTGTCTTCTGAGGTTTTATTTGTATGTAATGAAAATTTGTTTTCTTTGGGGACTGTTTCGCTTTACAACGCCCTGCATGTACCCCTCACACTATAAATAAATTTTAAAAATACACAATCTTTTCAAAACCTACAGTAAAACAATGTCTCAGGTATCCGGCAGTGCGTTCATAACCTCTCATGTAATAACTTTCTGTGAAGGAGCTTTCACAGGCATTAAAACTCTTCGGACGTCTGGTTCCTATCACCACCATTGTTAACAATTCTGTTTGGGAAAGTTTCTCTAGGACTCTCTCCAGGCATTTCACCACTCTAAATCACTATTAAAAAAAGTCAATCCTGGGATTTGAACCCACAGGCGTACCCGCTGGCGTACCTCTCCTACCACTAGGCTACAAGCCACCCAAGCTTTTCCATTTTAGCAGATGCATAATACTAAGAAGAGATTATCATGATGAAGCACCTAATCCAGTTTACTAAGACTGATCAATACTGACTGCGTTATTTAAAGCCTGTGAAAAGCTTGTCTGTTTTTGGAGCCAACATGACTAATGACTTCTTGAAGAGTAATAACATTATCCCAACATACTAAGTCGAAATATCGAAAACACAGGTAATTATTTGGAGATGAAAAGTCAAATTTTTGACATAAGTAAAATCTGGATACTGCTGCCAGAAATAGAGAGGAGGAAAAAAACAAACATTTTTTTTATTTCTCTTATCGATCAGAAACCGGCTTTCATACATAAAGAATGTGAGTATATGAATGGGGAAAGCTGGTAACGCTCAACAAGGCCACCTTCAGTAAAAAGAGTCTATCAGCTTGCTGGTTGGCAGCCTCCCCTGGTTGTGGGGATCTGTACTAGTACAGTAGCAACCTGAAATTTTTTTTGTGTATTAATCAAAACACTACAAGCTATTTATGAGGTTTTTGTCAGATTTTACTGGGGAGTTCAACATTTTTCAAACAGTAATTTGACTTTCAAATTCGAGATTTTTGGTCTCTCCTCATTCATAGAGAGAGAGGAGTCTGGTCTTGTATGGCTGGAAATAACTGCCCGGCAGCGGTGCAAAGATGGCCGCCGAGTGAACAGACGTTCCTGTAAGGACTTTGGCTGGTCGTAAAGTTGCGTCTGTGTTCATTTGCATGACATACTAGATGGGCCAACCCTGCCAGCGCAAACTGTGGACCGTTGGTAATGAGGCTCTTTTAGTAAATCTGCCCCTTGGACTGTATTTTTAGGGTGAAGCTCCTTTGCTGTTGGTGTTGATAGGTTCAGATTTTCCCTTGAGCTCCACTTAAAACAGTTTTTTTGTTTTCATGTACCAACAACTGTAATTCATTTTTACATGACAATTTCCCAACATTTTAACCCCTGAAAATTAAACAGGCTGTTTTCGTTACTGTGCTTTTAAGACTGGTATGTAAATGAGCCATGTGCTGATTGGCTGCCACATTCAAAAAGGACCCTGAAGAACGCCAATGTGAATGGGGGGGGCTCAACTGCTGTAGGCTGATTAGGTGGATGGGCTGTTTACATACTACTTCAAACTCTTGAACCTGGTGGGTGTCACCTGTAGTGCTGAGCCAGTTGGGTGTTTGTTGGCCGAACAGGCCCTCTTCGATGTCCCTGAAGAACCTCTTCAGGACGTTGGAGACGTCGTCCACCTGCTGCTCCCCCTCTTTCAGCCACACAGAGCGAGCGTCCCGCCTGAAAGCCTCCAGCAGGGCGGCGATCTTACTGTTCACACCGCTCTTACGGTAGATACCCTCAGACGTCAGCCCTGCAGGACAACCACATGTTCATTAACGCTTGTGCAGTTAAAGTCTTGTGCATTCTTGACCATTTCCGAGGTTTAACAATCACTGTTTTAAACAAAACGTATCACAAAAGCAGGTAAAAATGACAGATACAGATTGAGTTCATTTTAAAGGTGAGTCCCACCTCTTTAATATAAAAACAATACCAAGGGATTGATAAACACAGAACTGTCAGTTCGGGAGTAAAGGGGGACTGAGGTAGTTATTTGGAGATGAACAGTCAAATTTTGAGCACTGAAACGGTAGTAGCCATTATAAATGTAGTACTGAAAATACATAGTAAAAATTAGAATACTGAGAAATAAGAACAGGAAAACAAACAGTTGAAACAAACTAAACCAGACTACAGCAGCTACTGAAGTTGTACTACTGAACCAATGTCCTAGCAACAAATGCGACAAATGAGATAAAAATCACCACGTCATACCCGCATATCTAAAGGCTGCATTTTAAAGAGTCTAAGAACGCTCTCCAGCTATAATCTCACACAGACCCCCCATAAATATGAACTGAAGACAGAAGCAAGAATAATGAGACGTAAATAAAAGATAACTAGTGTTTACACAAAGGGACAAAAACAGAACAGTTTGTTCGGCTCTAGATTCACTGCTGAACGTCCTCAGCCTCTCGTTTGGTCAGTGTAGCTGAGAGAATGAGACTTGGCAAAACACGGAGATATCAGGCTAGCTGACCAGTTAAGTTGATCCACACGCGCTATGACATTCCCCATAAATAAACAAGCTGGTATAAAATACAAAAATAACATGCCAAGTCACTGAAACTGACCATGGAGCATAAACACAAGGAGCATGAAATTAGCTACGTGTTTAGTAAAGCCGCGAAAATATTTGTGAAAAGATTCTAAATCAGTAAACAAAAATTTAAAAACATTTGCCTCCTGAACTCGTTTCCATATCATCGCTGCTGTCTAGCTGAGTTGAAATCCTGTCAGACTCCTCTTTGTCCATATGTGATAAACAGAACGTCTTGGAAAGCTGTACGCCTCCTCCTCGCTGGAGGATTCATCGTAAAAAAAAAGGATGTGCAAATTTGTAAAACTTTTTGTTAGACATTGAAAACTGGAATATTCAGATCAACAAAATGAAATATTCAACAATCTACAGTGTAACGTGAGTCGAAGATGGCTGCGACTGTGTTTTCTGTCTGAATTCACCTCAGAGCAGAGCAGCCGGCAGAGGGCACAGAGTGGTCTGAAGGGTTAAAATGCACAACAGCAGCGTAGTGGTCAGTGTATACTGTGAAAAGGAATGTGTTACCAAAAGATCAAATTCACACAACTCTCCCTTTACCCCAAATTTAGTAGACCAGCCATCTTAGGTGTCTGAAGGTTCAGGGCTTGACAATAAGCTTCAGAGACTTGTCCTTAATCTAATTTTACTTAAAATCACTTTGGCCTTCAGACAAGTAATTTGGCCAGGTCAATCTCATTAAACACTAAAGGGGAATTCCATGAATGTAACAAAGTCATTTAGAGTGGTTTGTGTGAAATGCTCCGTTCCAGACAAACGTACAGAGTCAGAATTGTTCACAGTGTTACTGATAAGAACCAGACGTCTGAAGAGTTTAAAGCCTCTAAAAGCTTCCTCACAGAAAGTTATTACATGAAACGATCATGAAAACACAGCCTGATGTCTGAGACGTTGTTTTACGACAGTTCTGAGATGAGATTTTGGCCTAAAAGCGGTAAATGCACATCTTATTTTTTCAGATTTCCCACATTTTACCATCATCAACATTATACAAAAAGCTCAGAAGACGTGTAGATTCAGTTAGTTTTGGATAGTAAATAAAACGATGCTGTAGACTTTGTGATCCCTGATTACATTTATCACCACTGTAAAGAAGCAGGTGTTTGTAAATTAAACGTGGATGATTTCTAAAAATAAGTAAAAATCGGGATTATCGATTATACATGCACAAATACACGTGTCCGCTACAGCTTTGGGTTCCTATTCTATTTTCAGTGAATGTGCATTTTTTTGAACAATAAATGTTTTGATGAAAATCTTTAATATGACCACATACTAAACAACAGTATTCAGTTACCCAACATCTTTTGAAAAATACTTCACCTCTTGTTTTAATAGGCATTACTGTAAAAATGTAAAAATTCATGAGCTTCTTCTGGTGCAGATTTATGATGAGCTGCGTGCTAACAGCACTCCCTGCAGGAAAAACCTTAGATTGCAAGCGGTTTCTAAAGCCATGTTGACATGTTAGATATACAGGGTGATTAAAAAAAAAGCCCCATATTTTTACAACCGTGAGGCACCTAGGAACCAATCACAATCCAATTGAAAGAGGGGGTCATAGAGTTTCTGACTGTCAGTGGAAGATGGCTCCCTTCAGTCTGAGAGGAGATGAGACCCCTGAGCAGAAAGCGTTCTGCGTTCTCCACTTCAATAAGAGTGAATCCGTCATAACTGTGCAGTGTGATTCGCACTGAAAGAGCCGTGAGTGCAGCGACACCCGACATGCTCAATCCAGTATGGGATGAGTTTGACTATGGTGTTGATGTTGTCTGTACAGCTGGAGGAGGTTCAGACTGAGACCTTCTACAATTACATAATAAACTTTATGATCATTTAAACCGTTTACAGTTCACTGCACTGATCTGTAATGATTTACAAGCTATAACTCAATGTTTAAACAGTGAAAGTGAATACAATCTAATGTGTACAAACCATTTCATATCATTTGTTACCTTCTTCTGATCTGTTGGGACCTGCAAACTTCTTAAACATGAACCCCAATTTCCCAACATATTTAAAAGCTGTTTAAAGGTAAATTAGTCCTCTCTAGTTCTCTCTCAGTTCTTTTCCCAAAATAGCAAAAATCGCCTTTTCCTCATCACCATGGTCATCACCAATGATATCCGATTACAGCGCTCTATAACCCAGGCCAACTGTAAAATTCTCAACAATGAACCATTTCAGATCAAACCACTCTCAATGACTTTGTTCACAACTCAGCCACTGAATTATGTAGTAATTTTGAAATACCCGTGAAATTTCCCTTTCCCCTTTCTTTAGAAACAGCTTGTCACTAAACCTCAGTCATTATTAGTATCTCTCACTTTCTCTCTCTCATCCAGCTAAGTCACCTACAGAGTGCCAGCATGACAGCAGGAAACAACATTCAGCTCTCCACTGGGAGAGAGGGAAGAAAAGCCACACAGACAGAGGAAGAGAGAGACAGACAGAAGTTAAACAGGGCAGAAAACATTGTTTGAGTGAAGTTCTCCTGTGACAGCAGTCACAAGAAGCCAGTTACCGACTCATCCAAATGTCTCTCTCTCTCTCTCACTCACTCAGTAATGTCATTAGCCCCTAACCGCTGGCAGCGGAAAGCAGAGTGACTGGCTGCTTTCACTCAAATAAAACCAGCCATCCAATAAGCAATGAATGCATCACGCTGGGAATGATGGGCAAACAGAGAGACGGAGGCCACAAACTCTCAGATAGGTGCCCATAAATTTTGATATTTGTACAATTCTGCTTTTTAAACATACAAAGAAAAACACACTATGCTTTAATATATACACTGTATAGCCAAAAGTATTTGGATACCCCTCCTTATTGTTGAGTTCAAGTGTTTCAGCCACATTCATTGCTAACAGGTGTGTGAAATCAAGCACACAGCCGTGCAAACCCCATAGATAAACACTGGCAGTAGAATGAGTCGTACTGAAGAGCTCAGTACGAGGTGGCCACCTCTGCCACAAGTCAGTTTGTGAAATTTCTGCCTGGCTAGATCTGCCCTGGTCAGCTGTAAGTGCTACTGTTGTGAAACAGAGTCAGTTTGTGAAATTTTTGTGAGTGTAAAGCAGGCACAACACAACACACCAGTAAAAACATCCTGTCCTGTTGAATCACTCACTTCGGCTTTCCAAACTGCTTCTGAAAGGAACATCTTCACAAATACTGTGTGCCAGGACTGAAATGGGTTTCCATTGCCAAACAGCTGCACACAAGCCTAAGATAACTATGCATAAAACCAAGCGTTGACTGGAGTTGTGTAAAGCACACCACCACAGTGCAAGCGTGTTCTCTGGTGTGATGAATCAGCTTCTCTACCTGGTAGTCTGATGATGAGTCTGGGTTTGGTGGATGTCAGGAGAACATTACCTACTGGAATGCACAGTGCCAACAGTTTGGTGGAGGAGGGATGATGGGCTGGGGCTGTTTTTCAGGGTTTGGGCCCCTCAGTTCCAGTGAAGGGTGATGTTAATACTACAGCATACAAAGACATTTCAGACAATGATCTGCTTCCAGCATATTGGGCAGCAGTTTGGGGAAGAGCCTTTCCTGTTCCAGTATGACTGAACTGGGCTCCATAAAGGCTTGGCGAGTTCACTGCTGAGGAACTCCAGTGGTCTGCACAAAGCCCTGACCTCAACCCCACTGAACACCTTTGGGATGAACTGGAACGTCGACTACGAGTCAGGCCTTCACAACCTCTGACCTCACAAATATTTTTTTTGAGTGAATGGACACAGATTCCCACAGACACACTCCAAAATCTGGTAGAAAGCTTCCCAGAAGAATGGAGGCTGTTACAGCTGCAAAGGGGGACCAACTCTTTATTAATCCCATGGTTTTGGAATGGGACGTTCAACAAGCTTGTATATGTGTGATGGTCAGGTGCCCACATACTTTTGGCCATATAGTATTTATATAAACATATAAAGAAAGAAAAAACATAGAAAGAAAGAAAGAAAAATGAGAAAGGAAACAGAAAAAGAAAGAAAGGGAGGAAAGAGAATGAAAACAGAAGGAAAAAGAGAAAGAATAGGAAAGTCAGAAAGAAAGAAAAAAGAAGTTCAAAGAAAAAGAAAGAAAGGAAAGATGAAAAAGAAAGAAAGAAAGAGAAAGTAGAGAAAAAGAAATGAAAGAAAGAATAGGAATTAAAGAAAGAAAAAAGGGACAAAGAATCAGAGAGGACGAATTAGATAAAAAAGGAAAAAGGGAATGGAAAGAGGGGAAAAAGATTGAAAACAGAAAGCGAAGAGAAAAATCAATGGAAGGCTGGAAGGGAGAGCAGCGTGCAGTAGAAGACATTTTAAACAAGCTCAGCCAATCAGCCTTAAGGGCAGCATGACATCACCAGCAGCTGGAATCGAAAAGTTTTAGCTAAAATGTTTTTAAAAGTATAAAGTTATGAAACTGAAAAAGACCGAAAACTTCGCTGAAATTCTACAGGAAACGATCTGAATGGAGTCTGTATGCTAAACAGTTTGGTTATACGACCATCCGACAGTGCCTGTGATAAATGGGGCTGCTGAGAGGAAGCGTTTCTTCTAGGAGGAAGGATTAAAAACACCATCATTTTCCACACAGTCCCTATCTGCTGCTTCTGTAGAGCTCCATCGATTATCACGCACATTTTCATCACGTTCCCCACTTTGAGTGGGCAGCTGCTTTAGCCAAGCTGAAAGGCACTGGATGAACGTCTGGTCTGCATGTAAATCTCTAAACATTAACTATCCAGTCAGTTCCTCGTTCTCCAGTCCTGCCCTGTAAGGATACGGGGGGAAATCTAGCGCTGTGCAAAGGAGTCAATCATTTCACCAAGCGCCAACTTCCCCATGTCAGTACTCTTATCAGCTCTTATCTTACTCAGCCTGTGGGCTGCAGAGGTCCAGTTTGTTTTGATATAAATCCACATCGCGCCTGAAAGCAGACACTGGAGTTTCCACTTGTCTTTCCCATTGGGAAGTAAATCTCGGAGCTCAGTATTGCCTTTTGTAAGCTTTTGTTGGAATGTCTGGCAGTTTTGTGGATCTTGTTCTTGGAATTTTCTTGCAAAAGAGCTCCCTGTTCCTTCGAATCTTAACATTTCTGGATTTCTCCACACAAAGATATGCAATATTTATCACCCAAAGCACACAAGTTGATTTATTAATCAGTTTTCCTCTGTATTTTAGCTTGATTTAATCAGAACCAGTCAAATTCTATTACATCATATTTTTCTCTGTATTTCAGTCGCTTTTTTTTGCAAAGCATTTTGTAAAGCTGTGTTAAAAATGTGCTACATAAACAAAAAATTATTATTATTATACCTGTTACACATTTATGATTTACTTATACGACTAAAACCTATTAAATGCAGAACAGAGAGCGGTATAATTATTTCTGTTTTGCCCAAATATTTAGTAGCATAATAATATAAGGTAGCAAACCAAGAAAGCAACAGCTGCAATCCAGAAGAATCTGCGATAAACTCAACAATGACCTTCCAGTGCAGTTACAGCTGAAATAATATAGTGATAAGATCCAAAATATTTTCATTTGCACTGAGTAAAATGACACCAGCCTCAGTGTTTGTCTTTAGAGTCTATACTGCCAAAATCCCTCAGCCATCGAATCAAAATAAACACATGCATGGCACAAAGCTCAGAACAGAAGAGTTTACATTAATAAGGAGTAGAAAGAATGAGGTTGGAATGGAAATAAAACAAGATTAACTGCAACGTTCACAAATAAAATGGAAATAAAATGGGATAAATTAAAAATAATCAATTGAAAATAAACAGTGTAGAAACGAAACAGAACAAAATGAATGAACAGAATGGAAATAAAATGGAAATAAAGCTAAATGTAAATTTAAAATAAAATGGAGTAAAATGAGTGGAAAAATGAACAGAATGGACACAAAACAGAATGAAATTAAAATGAATGAAGTGGAATGAAAATAAAATGGGAAGAAATGAAAGAAAATAAACAACAGAAATTAAATGTAACGGGACTGAAATGGAATGAAATGAAAAACAAACAGTAGAAGTGAAACAGAATGGAATTAAAACAGGATAGAGATGAAACTAAACAAAATAAGCTGAAAAGAAATAGCAATGAAATGGAATGAAATGCAATAAAATAAAAGGAACTGAAACAAAACAGAATGAAATGAAACAGAATGGAAATGAAATGGAACAGAAAAAAACTAACTTAAATAAAATGAAACACATCAAAACAAAATGAAGCAGCATGAAAGCACAGATGGAAAGAAAGGGTTTTCCTGGGTTCTCCACTAACGGACACCTAACACAGGACAGAAGTAAAAGAGAACGAAACAGAAATGAATTCACTGTATACATTACCGTATTGTGTGATGTAGTGAATGCAGCGCTCCACTATAACCGGTATGTCGGCCTCGGTGAGCTGCTGCTGACTCAGCGTATCTCCAGAACTCCCAGCAGCCCTCTCGATCGCTGATGCCCAGCCGTAAAAATCCAGCTTCCTCTCACCCTCTATGTACAGGGTCCTACAGAGAGAGGGGGCATGGAGAATAACCAGAGAGAGGGAGAACGAAGGAAAGAGAGAAAACAATTACAAAATTTGACTCAATTTAGAGACCCCCTTAAAAGAACTGGGGCCACAACCAGAAGACTCCGCCCACAAATGCATTCTTTTTAGCGACAGTCGCTACGTTGGGCAAGCTTTTCAGAACATCGGTAAAAATCCAATTCAGCCTGAATGGGAAATTGAGAAATGGTAGAAATCGTTGTTTAGACTCGCTACACGTTGAGCTTCCAGTTTAAATGCTATGCTACTCAGCTGGATCATGTTGTTTTTGGCTACTAGCCTAAATAATGTATTTAGATTTCAGCATATCATTAGGCTGAATGGGATTTTGGCCAATGTGTCGTAAACTTATCCAACCTCGCAACCTCAGCTACAAGGTGGACCAGCACAGATGGACAGGTTAGGTTAATGTTATCTCACTATACTAGCAGCATTTAGTATACAAATACATCAAACAACCATCAGTAACCCCTGTGGTGTCAACTAATTATGACTGCTAGCCCCTGACCTACAGGCTAATATTCAACCTAGCATTAATATAAATCTTACCGTAATTGTTTAACAAAAGCAGACAGAAAACAGCAATTCTACATTTATTCTGAACAAAACGGACACCAATTACCATTTTTAACCCTTTCAGCCAGAGAAAAGCAGCCAAACTGAGGTAAGACACCTACATAGTCAGCTACCATGCTAACTTCAGCTTTTAGCTTCTTTTCTTCCTCATCTCTCGACTCATTTCTGTAATTTGAGTAATCCATTCTCTCCAATGAAGTGATGAAGACAGTTACTACAGTTATATGGCTGCAACGAGTTCTTTAGCATCTTAGTAATATTGCTAGCTGTCTGGATTCCTTTCCGATTTCAAACAGAACACCCCCAGAAATCCTCCCTGAATCAGGTGAAGCCACTGAAAAAGTTCCTCCCATCATTCAAGATACGAGAAAATCTTACTCTAAAGCCTACTGCAGAGTAAGCACGTTTATAAACATGCTTATAACATATTTATAACCGTGGCATAACTGTATTAACACTCACCTGCCCCGCTCAACAAGCACCAGAACTTCATTATCCCTCGCTGATGGAAAAGAGGAAAGAGAAGGAAAATTATTTTACATAAATATTCCTCAAAATATCAACATAAAACTGAACGAACAACAACAGCAGGTTTATACTGGAGTGTATTTAGGATTGTGGCCTAGTTTATAATCATCAATTTTAACACTGGGTTTGTTGGTAATTACACTGTGATGAACACAGCACTGTAATCTAATTAGGGGCGTGTCTTTCTCTTCTTTCCCGTTTGAAGAACCATTATTTTGACACGAAGTTCATGACTCCGGGAGAAAAACAAGCCCAAATTTATTGTTTCTAATTAACTGGTGATGACTGGGTTACTGAGAGAGGTGGAACGCTTTCCTGTCCTCCACCCATTTTTTCTAATGCCTCTCTTTCTCTCCTCCCTCTCCTTCCTTTGCTCTGTCCATCTTCATTTCTACCAGTTAACTCAGGATCTTTGTTTTGCCCCTTTTGCCTTCGCACTTCTGAGCCCCTTGGTCTGCCTGTCCATTTACATGACACATCCATCGACACTCATCACTCGCTCAACCTTCTAGCACAACTTGTGCTAACACTAAACATGGAACGTTCCAGTAAGTTTCTGAGGTTTTTTGTCATATAATCATTAAACATTCAGCTACACAGCAGTATTTAAGGCAGAAACATTTAATTTAGCTTAATGCTTATTTCTGCTGTAGGATTTTAGGTGTTATGTTAGCGTCAATTTTCCCACAGTGTATTTAATACGTAACAAGGCCTGAAAAAGGGATTTGGCAGACCTGGGGACTCAACACCATGATAGCGGAGTCTGATTAGGCCGCAAACTGGGGACTCAACACCATGATAGCGGACTCTAACTAGGCCGCAAACTGGGGACTTAACACCGTGATAGTGGAGTGTCTAACTGTTACTGCAGTTTAGTAACTCAGCTGGAATAAGAAGAAGGGAGAGGTTTAATGATACCCATAAAGCAGGAGTCTGAGAACTCCTCAAAAAACAAAAATTCAAGAGAGGACTGGCAGAAGGTGAAAGTGTAAAAAAATACATAAAATTAGTGCACAGAGATGAGGTTGGGTAGGTTTTAAGTAGAAAAACATTCTCAGTTTAGACTCACAGAGTTCTAGAAGCTTCTGCAGGTGGATGGTTTCCTGGCCATGGCCATCCTCCAGGCACACGTGCAGGGTGGAGGCCACCAGGCAGAACCAGCCCACCTTAGAGCTCTCCAAGTTGAGTGGGTCTTTATAGCGCAACCGGCCGATCCTCTCAAAATCCTTCTGCAGCAAGTCCTCCGCACACGCAGGGATGAAGGACTGGGATTAGAGTGAGTGAGTGAGAGAGAGAGAGAGAGAGAGAGAGAGAGAGAGAGAGAGAGAGATGACCCCTAATGACCCAACTGACGTCAAAACCTCAGGAGAGTAATAAGCACACCATAACGTACATTGCTTGACAAAATTTTGGACTCTACTTTCTTTATTTTGATTTATATGTTAATGTTAATGATGAGTTCTTGCAGACAGACAACACACTTATTTACATGGTTACCTTGGCAATGGATTTGACCCATTCCTTCATGGTCTCAGGATTGTCAGTGCCGAAAAAGGTAGAGGCGCTCTGCGTCCGAGTAGATCTCAAACGAGTGATCATACCTGAGAGAAAAGAAGGGAAAAGAGAAAATGAGAAAGACAGAGATGGCAATGAGAATTCAGAGATACCTTGAAATCATGATTTACCAAGATTTAAAATCTTATATCTGGATATATAAGATGAATTATTTTGTCGTAAAAGTTATTTATTAGTTTCTGTCCTTGAATTCATAGTATATTCCTGAATTCATCGTGAATACCAATAATCTTTTATTCCTCGATTAGTCAGCAAATTACTTGTACAAAGCTACATTAGACATTAGATCACAGACACAAAGTTCAACAGCTTGAAGAATCACACATAAGGCATATTCAAAATTACGTTTAATTAATGGCAGCTGTGCGCTTATCTTCCTGTCTGCACTGCCTTTCAGTCATTTGTTGATGTGCACCTGTCCCTGACTGGGTTAGCTAGGACATCCAGTATTTCTTCTGTTTATTCTGCTGAGATTCATTCTCTGTTATTGGGCATAGTTTTGTTTCATTCAGAAATATTTTTCTCTCTGATGTTCAAACAACTTTTTTTGTTCTTCAGCGGTCCGGTGTGTCTCTCTCTGTGTCTCTTTCTCAGTTGTTCAGTTGTCAGTAAATGTTGATGGAAATTTGACTTGCAGTCCCGGTTGTGATTTCAGTAAAAGCAGTTTCCTGTTTTAAGATGTCTGCTCTGAGATTAGTCTAGTTTTAAACTAAATAGGCCTACATATTTCAAGAAGGGCCAATTTGTTTTTGTCATACATGACAAGTATTAAGTAATTTACACTTGAATTAGTGATGTACTTTCTTGTTCCTTGGCCTTCATTTTTTAGTGTTCAAAAATTAAGAATTCAAAAAATTGAAAAAGAATAATTTGCTAATATTCAGTGTGTTTCACTTATTACTGTGCTGTTGCAAGTCTGATCTCAAGTAATTTGATCTAAAAACCAGCATTTTCTACTCATTTCAAACCTTTCAATACTTATCAGAACTACTTATTTCTAGACTGGAATTTTAAGATTTCATGTGAAGTAAAATTATCTTGCTGCGTGGACATTTCTGCTCAAATTTAGTGTTTATTTCTAAATCCATCACAACTTAACTAACTGACCACATATGATCTAATTCACCACCAAGGACATAATCTCACGACTGATCTAAGCCAACATGACTGACAACAAAAACACAACAAAGAGGCTCTAATCCACCACAACTGACCTAATCTACCACAGTAGACGAAATCCACCACAATTGATCTGTTTCACCACAATGGACACCATCTATCACAACTGACCTAATCCTCCACAACTGACAAAAAAAAAAATCACAACAAAAAGGACCTAACTGACCACAACTAACCTAATCTACCACAACAGATGAAATCCACAATGGACACTATCATGAATGACCTAATCCACCACGACTGACAACAAAAACACAGCAAAGAGGCTCTAATCCACCACAACTGACCCACACAGTATAAAAATTGGTTCTTCAAGGGTTCTTCAGTAAAGACAAATAGTTCTATAGAGAACCCTTTTTTGTGCTATATAGAACCCTTTTCAAAAAAGCTCTATACAGAACAATATACGCAACACTTTCTCCATCGATCTGAAGAGCCACTTCATGGTGCAAAGAAACCCGTTAAGCATGCAAATGGTTCTTTGAATGTTCATGGTTCTATATAGAACCACTGTCTTCACCAAAGAACCCTTGATGAACCATCTTTTTTTTTTAAAGAGTGTACCACAACAGACCAAATTTACCACATCTGACCTTATCTACCATGACTGACCTAGCTTACCACAATGGACCTAATGCACCACAACTGACTTACGTCAACTGACCTAATTCCCTACTTTACTACAACTGGCCTACCAAAATGGACTTAATGGAGAAGGGACCTAATATTCCACAGGTGACCTACCACATCTGACCAATCCACCACAATTGGCCTCATCTATTAAAACTGACCTAATTTCCCACAACTAATTTAATATGCCACACTGACCTAATCTAGTACAACTGACTTGATCTACCAGAAACCTAATCCACCACAACTGACCCGATACACCAAAACTACCTACTGCAATGGACCTGATCTACCTTAATTGACCTAATCTAACCCAAGTGAACTAATCCAACAAAGCTGACTTTCAACCACAACTGATCCAACAAATGAAGATTTTCCAGCAGGGATTTTCACGAAGCAGGAAGCCAAATAACTCTACTTAGCCAAATGTCTTAAGCCATAGATCAAGTTTGTCCCCCAGGAGGAAAGGTAAAGGGCATTCTTCCTGCTGCTGTCCTCACTTTTGCCTGAAGTTATCACGTTTACTGAGAAATCTTGCTTTGTGAAAAAGCCCCCAAAATATTTAAATCTTAAACAGGAAAAGAGCTCAAAGTTTTAGATGACTGGTCTAGGCAGTCAGCCAGACGTACCCGTGTGTCTCAGGAGGATTGACGGCCAGACAGACGATTTCTCTCATCTTCAGACCGCCGTTGGGTGTGGCAATCTTATCACTCTCGTAGTAATTAAAGTTGCCATCGTTCAGCACACACCAACGCCTGCTGAACTCTGAAAGAGACAGAGAGAGAAAAAAAAGAGATGCTTGATTTTGACTGAAAGGCTGATTGATTAGGTTTCATTAGTTACTTCTGGTTGTGTCTTTAAATGATTTCGCCTCCTATCATATCTTCAGGAGACGTTTCATGAAGAATAGTGATAAAAACAACAACTTGTAATCAACTATGACTTGGAGACGTTTCACTTTGGAAAATAGGTTGCTATACAATCTAACTGGGCTTGCAAAGAACACTGGGGAAACGCCTCTTAATCCAAACAGACATAATCAAAGCCTGTAATCAAAGCCGGGGGGGGTTCACACAAAGTATCAGTTCAGAGGTTTTCACATTTCCACCAGACAGTGAAATATGGCACGATTTGGTTATAGATATCTAGAGTTATTGCGAGATAATTATGTCATTTAAGGCACTTATTTGCATCCACAAATGCAAGTTAAGAGTGTATTATGCACAGCGGAAGCTATATGTCAACAATTTCCAGAAACGCTGCTGGTAGACTTTGCTGGGCTTGAGCTCATCTGAAATGGACTGATGCACAGTGGAAATGTGTGATGTGGTCTGATGAGCCAACCTTTCAGATTGGTGATAGAAATAATGGACGTTGGGCCAAAGAAGTAAAGGACCACCCAGATGGTTACCAGTGTAAAGTTCAAAAGCCAGGGGTGGCCATGGTACGGGGGGTGTATTAGTGGGTAACCAGCACATTTCAAACTGCAAATACAACACAGGCCCTATATGGTTGCGTGAGTGAAGACGTATAACTGAAGAGTGGCAAACAATTCTGTGTTCAACTGTGTGTTTTCAATTTAATACAGGTCAGGCAGAATTTATTGGCATTTATTGACATTACATATACTGTCCGAACTTTTTAGAATTGGGTTTGTAAAAGCAAAATTCATTTGTTGTTATCCAAAAGTCTTCATCGTTATGAAATATGCAAACAGACAGATGCAGCGTTTCTGCTCACATATTATGTCCATTTTTGAGAAAGAAGCGAATGACTGACTGCGATTGGCTCACCTTCTTTGTTCTTCCGCTCTGTGATTGGACGGGCCATGGAGGCGGTCTTAAAGAGGAAGCCATTGTGTGTGATGGAAGGCGGGGCCATGTAGTGCTCTGCGTGAACAGCAAGCTTCACTTCTGACCTCGGAATCTCTGCAGGTCAAAATGGCAACGCTTACATAGCCAGACACAATCAGTCACAATAATAACACTAATAATTTTTGTTTTTGTATCACTTTTCTCTGATCCAACATCAGTATACACAATCAATGGCAGTGTATCCCTGGTCTCGCAATGATTCAGTTCAATTATGATTCTTTAGAAATCGATTACACACTTCACCTTGATTTGATTCCACTAAATTTGACTATTTCTATTCGATTCCCCTGACCTTGCATTTGAAAATAGTGCAAAAATAATAAGTACTTATAATTTAGAATAAATTACAATCACAATACTTCACAATATTCATGTCTAAAATACAATGCAAAGACAAACATTAAAAGCATTACATGAAAAAACTAGCAGTTATGAAGACTGACATATATAAACTACAGAACAATATGTATTTGTATTTTGTACATGTGTAAGTACTGTATACAGTGGAATCGGTTTTAGGGAGTTGATAGCAGCTGTTCGGCTGCACTGACCTGTGTTGCGGTTCTGCGTGAGGAACTCCACCTGCAGGTTTTGTCCGTGGTGCATTGCCAGGGCAGCAGGAGAGGGGTGGTCAGGGTTGCCCGTGTCACAGTTCACATCAGCACCGCAAAACACCAGAGCCAGAGTCTCACAAACGTCATTAGACTGGACGTTTATACACAACGCCTAGAGAAAGAGTGAGAGAGAGAGAATTACGTTCCTCCTGAACAGATGCCACGTGTGTTAAAGATGAACAAATCTTGGTAAAGATGAGACAAATGCAAAAATGTAAGTGTATCTTTCACTGGTGAATCTCATTGCAGTGATGGGAATATGGCAATTTTACTGCATTGATATTTGGATATTAGAACCGATTTGTAAGTGTTTATAATTCAGACATCACAAGATCAGTCAAGTTGATGTCAAAATTAAAAAGAATAATAATAATGAATAAAAAATAATAATAATGGTACTAGTGTTGCACTTTATCGGTAGTACTGAGTCAAAGTTGGTTCCACAATCCTGTCAGACTGGAGAGCATATACAGAAGCCTACTGAGATAGCAGTCTTTAGTGTTTCCCCTACAATAATATAGGTCGGCAGGCTGCCTGGTCAAACTCAGTCGGCTTTAGGGAAAAATATCCCATCTACAAACTGTTCAGTTTTTAAGGAACTATAAATCATATTCTTATACATTTCTACTGAAACATGCAAATTATTCTTTGACCCAATATAAACCATGAAGCATATAGACCCAGTTCCAAAAGAGTTGGGACAGTATGTGAAATGCTAATAAAAACAGAAATTAGAGATTAGTTGATTCTGTTTCACCTGTATTCAATTGAAAACACAAAAACACAATTTCATGTTTTACCTAATAAACTTCATTGTTGTTTGTAAATATACGCTCATTCAAATTTGCTGCCTGTCACACGTTCTGAAAAAGTGGGATGGGACGGATCACTTTGGGGTCTGAACACACAAACTGATCCAGTGTAGAAAGCGTAATATTGTACTGTTCTTCTGTTACAGAAGTCTTCAGCTGTGTAACCGTACAGGGCCTTTGTTGCTGTATTTTGGTTTGAACTGCAGGCAGGCCAGTCTAGCACCTGCACTCTCTGATCATGCAGTCTTGCTGTTGTGGCTGCTGTGTTGCAGAATGTGGTTTGGTGCTGTCAGGTTGAAATAAGCATGGACATCCCTGAAAAAGACGATGCCTAAAAAGGCAGTATATGCTGCTTCGAAATGTGCACAGTGTTAATGGTGCCTTCACAGATGCACAGGTTACCGACTAACACCCCTCATACTACAAGACAACAAGCTTCCACTGTGCATCAGTCCATTTTGAGCTCGAGCCCAAAGAAGTCAGCAGTGTTTCTGAACACTGTTGATATACAGCTTCCATGGTCCTAACCGCTATTTGTGGATGAAGCAATGGACAGCTTTTATAGACAATGGTTTGTTAAAGTATTGCCCAGCCCATGTGGTGATACCCATCACAGAAACATGCTGGTTTTTAATGCAGTGCTATCTGAGGGATTAAAGGTCACAAATTCATTGTGTTTTTTTGCCTTGTCTGGATTTCCTAAATCTCTTTATGATATTCTACACTGCAGAGAGTGAAATACCTAAAATCCTTGCAATCCCTGGCTGAGGAACGTTATTTTTAAACTGCTGGAATTTTTACTGATGCATTTTTAGCAAGTGGTGAGCCAGGACCACCCTTGCTCAAAAAGGATGCTCCTTTTATAACCAAGCATGACTGCATCACTTGTTTAAGATGTTTTATTTGTATATTACACAAAGTTCAAAGTCTTTACAGTAAAACAATGGAGTTGAGGTAAAACATTACATATCTTGCTTTTGAACTGTTTTAGTTAAAATACAGGTTAAAGTGGATTCATAAAACACTACTTTCTGCTTTTATTAGCATTTTATCTACTGTTCCAACTTTTTTGGAATTAGGTTTATACATGCACTCTTCATATACAAAACAAGAGACTATAAATGATCTCCAACTGTGAATCACAACTTCAGTGAAATCAATAGGCACCTAAAAGAGCTGTTAGACATGCACTGTTTCACACATTACACTGCTCGATGCGCAGGATCTATCGGACTGTATCAGTTCTATGGTGTGTGAATAGCTCACACTGTTGGAAAATGTGACTGCCTGCTGTCACAAGGCCCCATCAACAGGAAAAATCCATTCCAGCACTTCAGCCATTATCAACAGCGACTGCATTGTACATTGCAATAGGAAGGAATTAGAATCAGGAGAACCGGCTTATGTTCTTGGAACTGGCATGCTAATATAGTATAGTATAGTGTTGTGGGATTTCTCCAACAAAACTGAACATTACCACACTTCTTTGGAGCTGCCTAAATGTGTTTTGCTGAATTTAATGCATTTAATAAATCTGACTTGTGCAAAAGTTATATCTGTTTATATCTTATGTTTTCTGAGTATATCACAGAGCACATAAATAGAAATTGTGCATGAAAATTTGTAGATAAATGCCAAATTTAGGTTTGTTCCCTGTAGAGGATGTGTTAACTTATTTTAAATTAGAAAACCAAAAAACCTGTAATTTGCCCAAATATTTGAATACAAAGCATGTCCAAAATTCTTCATTAGAATCCCCTGCCTTGTACATCCACTCACGGGACACTTTATGAGCTCTACCCACCTTATAACTCAAAATGTACACCAGAGGTGGGGAACTGAGGGCCAGCAGAGTTTGCGGACTTCCATTCTCTTACACCACAACCAAACTGAGTTAAGTCTGCCGTGTTTGAGCAGGAAACTGAGCATTAGCACTGGTATGCTCAATTTTATGCATTGACCGCAGGGGTACGAAGCCCTCTAGTGCTTCACAAGTTGTCAGATTCTGACCACAGAGTCAATCTTGTCCAGAGATTTCTGGGTGGTGATCCACTCTCAACAAAATACTCCAGTAACACTGTTGTGCCCAACACACTGATACCAGCACTACAAACACTACCATGTCAGCGTCACTACTGTGCTGAAAATGGACCACCAACCCAACTGCACCTGATAAACAGTGGTCCTGTGGTCAGAAACTGACCAGTGATGAATGGGGTAGAGGGGAGCTTATAAGTTGTTATTCAACAGATGAGCTACAGTCTGTAACTGTACCTATATGGTGGACCTATAAGGCAGAATGGAGCACATAAAGTAATCAGTGAGTGGAAGTACAAGGTGTTTTTAGTAAATGATTAGTGTGTGGACGGTGCATCTATCACACACAGTACAGGGCAAATAAAGCAATAAGAGGTTGCAGTGATTTTACCATGCAATGTAGGCACACTGCTTTTAACAATTTCCTGAATTAATGCAGAATGCAGTTGATGAGTGCAGTCATACGTCCATGCATCAAATAACACGGTGAATAAAAATCACCTCTGTTCCATCACTCACTACAAAGTTTCAAACTGCTTCTGGATGCAACATCAGCACAATAACTGTCAGTCAGGAGCTTCATGAAATGGGTTACCATGGCCGAACAGCTGCACACAAGTCTAAGATCACTATGTGCAATGCCAAGCGTCGACTGGAGTGGTGTAAAGCTCGCCAACACTGGACCGCGTTCTCTGGCGTGACCAATCATGCTTCTCTATCTAGCAATCTGATGGACAAAATCTGGGTTTGGCAGATGCCAAGAGAACACTACCTACAGGAATGCACAGTACCCTCAGTAAAGTTTGGTGGAGGAGGGATAATGAGCTGGGGCTGTTTTTCAGGGTTTGGGCCCCTCAGTTCCAGTGAAGGGTGATGTTAATGTTACAGCACACAATGACATTTTAGACAATTATTTGCTTCCAACTTTGTGGAAACAGTCTGGCGAAGGACGTTTCTTGTTCCAGCATGAACTGTGATCCACTGCACAAAGCGAGCTTCATAAAGACATGAGTTAGGTGTGGAGAAACTCCAGTGGCCTGCACAGATTCCTGACCTCAACCCCACTGAACACCTTTGGGATGAACTGGAACGTTGATTGCGAGCCAGGCCTTCTCATCCAACATCAGTGCCTGACCTCACACGTGCTTTGACTGAATGGGCACAAATTCCCACAGATACACTCCACAATCTTGTGGAAAGCTTCCCAGAAGAGTGGAGGATGTTTCAGCCATAAAGGGGTGGCAACTCCATATTAATGCACATAGTTTGGGAATTGGATGTCCAACAAGCTCATATAACTGTGATGGTCAGATGTCCACAAACTTTCCTAACAGAGCGTGTGAGCATTTATATTTTATCTGCTGTGTTGTTTGTGCTGAAAAAACAAGTGCACACAAGATCCCTTCACTCACAAAACAAAACAAAACATACTGAGCAGGGTAGGAGCTAAAATGTTACAAGCGCTTTTAACAAATGGACTCAGATGTTCGTAACTCAATTTGAGCTGCTTTGCGAGATGCCAGGACCACTCGTGATAAAGCAGAGGACAAACGAACCCTTTTGACATTGGTCAAGAAGTTCTAGTTGTTGGGACACAGCCAGTTTGTCATCTTGGTTGTTATCATGCCGACAACAGTGATTACTGGAGTGAGTCTGATGTCCGAAAAATCACATTTGTTGTTAAAAACATCATCATTTACATCATTTACGACCCCACAAATAACTCATGAGTGTGTAAAAGCCTAAAGAATGGCTTTTGCTTTTTACGTCAGTGAAAATAATCTAGATTATCATTACTCTGAGGTTAAAGTGTTGACAAGAAAAAGATATGACTCAACGGCCTGACTGACTGGAAAGGAGCATGCATGTGAGTGAATGAATGAGTGAGTAGAAGGAAAAAGATTCAGACAAAGAAACAGGCAGTTGAATATGTGGCGAACGAGACAGTTATGCGGAATAAGAGCGAGACAGATAGCGTTTGTGTGTGTGTGTTTTTACAGCTGAGCTCCCCCCTCCTTGACCACAGCAGGACAGCGGACGACCCTTTTTCTCTTTCCCACAAGTGCACAGTCATGCACGCACAGCTAAACACGCACAGCTAAACACGCACACAAAAGCACCCACATTTCCGTCGTCATAAGCAGTTCATTTAGTTTTCACCTTTAGAGTCAGAGACTGTTATATAGAACCTTCATCTCAAAGCCTGTCAGGAGATGAAAGGAGCTTCGGCCATTCATTCTTGTTAAAGCAACAGTTTGGAAAG